CGAAAGTCGTGGTGAATGGTAAAGGTAACGTTCTAATCCGCCTAAACGATGGAAGTCATCAATTCATTTCCGATGTCTACTATGTGCCCAACTTAAAAACAAATATTCTAAGTATGGGACAACTCCTAGAAAAGGACTATGATATTCACTTAAAGAATCGTAGTCTTTCTCTACGAGACAATAATGGGAGACTAGTTACTAAAGTGCCGATGACTAGAAACCGGATGTTCTTGCTTGATATTCAAAGAGATCAAGCCATATGCTTGAAAAGTTGCTTGAAAGACGAGTCATGGATTTGGCACTTAAGATACGGGCACTTGAACTTTGGTGGCTTGAAAATGCTATCGTCCAAAGGCATGGTGAAAGGTTTGCCCTTCATCAATCACCCCGATCAGCTATGCGAAGGATGCCTACTTGGGAAGCAATCAAGGAAACCATTCCCTAAAGAAGTTACCTCAAGAGCTAAGGAACCATTGGAGTTAATCCATACCGACTTATGCGGTCCTATTACTCCATGTTCTCATGGTAAAAGTAAGTACTTTCTCACTTTCATCGATGATTACTCAAGAAAAGCATGGGTATATTTTCTGAAACAAAAATCAGAGGCTTTTGAAGCATTCAAGAAATTTAAGGCTCTTATTGAGAAAGAAAGTGGGTACGTTATTAAAGCCATGAGATCAGATCGAGGTGGAGAGTTCACATCAAAGGAGTTCAATCAATTTTGTGAAGATAACGGCATCCGCCGTCCCATGACTGTCCCACGCACACCACAACAAAATGGTGTTGCCGAAAGAAAGAATAGGACTATCCTCAACATGGCCCGAAGCATGCTAAAGACGAAGAATATGCCTAAAGAATTTTGGGCTGAAGCTGTGGATTGTGCCGTCTATCTTCAAAATCGCTGCCCCACGAAGAGTCTAGATGGAATAACTCCACAAGAAGCGTGGCATGGAGGTAAACCCGGAGTCTCACACTTGAGAGTATTTGGATGCATTGCATATGCTCATGTTCCTGATCAGACTAGATCAAAACTCGATGACAAGAGCGAGAAGTTCATATTCATTGGATATGACAAACACTCAAAAGGGTACAAACTCTATAACCCGGATTTGAAGAAGCTTATAATAAGTCGTGATGTGGAGTTTGATGAAGAAGGCTCATGGAATTGGAGCATTGAAGACAAAGAAGATTATAACCTTTTACCATCCATGGAACATGATGAAGAAGTTGAAGAGAATCATGAAAATATAACTGCTCCACCATCTCCCACTCAATCTCAAGCTTCCCCACCAAGTTCGGATGAAAGAGAAATACCACGCATGTGAAGCATTGAAGAGCTTTACGAGGTAACACAAAACCTGAACTCAAATGATGAACTTACACTCTTTTGTCTATTTGGTGATTGCGAGCCACTAAGTTTTGAAGAAGCCACAAGAAACAAGAAGTGGAGAGATGCAATGGATGATGAGATTAAGTCCATTGTGAAGAACAAAACATGGGAGCTAGCCACACTTCCATCAAATCATAAAGCAATTGGAGTGAAGTGGATATTTAAGATCAAGAAAATTGCAAAAGGGGAGGTTGAGAAGTACAAAGCAAGACTAGTGGCCAAAGGCTACGCCCAAAGACATGGCATTGATTATGAAGAAGTATTTGCGCCCGTTGCTAGATTGGAAACAATAAGATTGATAATTGCACTCGCGGCTCACAACAAGTGGAAGATACATCAAATGGATGTCAAGTCCGCATTCTTAAATGGGTTCCTAGAAGAAGAAGTCTACATTGAGCAACCCGAAGGTTACAAAGTCAAAGGGCAAGAAGATAAAGTGCTGAGGCTAAGAAAGACTCTTTATGGGCTTAAACAAGCACCAAGAGCTTGGAATAGTAGAATTGACCAGTACTTCCAAGCTAATGGATTCGTGAAGTGTCCACAAGAACATGCACTATATGTAAAGAAAAATCATCAAGGAGAAATATTGCTCGTGTGCATATACGTGGACGATCTCATCTTTACGGGTAATAATATGACGATGTTCGATGAGTTTAAACAAGTCATGACAAGGGAGTTCGAGATGACTGACATTGGGCTTATGAGTTACTATCTTGGCATCGAGGTGAAGCAAATGGATGATGGTATATTCATCACTCAAGAAGGATACGCGAGAGAAGTACTCAAGAAGTTTAACATGGAGGACTCCAAACCTGTAAGTACACCTGTTGAAAGTGGACTAAAGCTATCGAGGTGTGATAAAGAAAAATTGATTGATCCAACTTACTTTAAGAGTCTTGTGGGGAGCTTAAGATACTTAACATGTACAAGACCGGATATTCTCTTTGGTGTTGGACTTGTTAGTCGATTCATGGAGGCCCCTACAACAACTCATTTGAAGGCGGCAAAAAGAATTTTGCGATATCTCAAAGGCACCGCCGAATATGGGTTGTTTTACTCTTCATCTGATGAGTTTAAGCTGGTTGGATATTGCGATAGTGATTGGGGTGGAGATATTGATGACCGCAAAAGCACAACTGGGTTCGTGTTCTACATGGGAAACACCGCTTTCACGTGGGTTTCAAAGAAGCAATTGATTGTCACCCTATCTACTTGTGAAGCCGAGTATGTTGCAGCAACATCAAGTGTTTGTCATGCAATTTGGCTCCGCTACATATTGCAAGCTCTCGGCATGTCTCAAGAAGAAGCAACAACAATATTTGTGGACAACAAGTCAGCTATTGCATTAGCAAAGAATCCAGTGTTTCATGATCGAAGTAAGCACATAGACACTCGATATCATTTCATCCGGGGAAAGATAGCGAAGAAGGAAGTTCAAGTAGAGTATGTGAAGACTCAAGACCAAGTCGCTGATATTCTCACAAAGCCACTCAAGCATGATGTCTTTGCAAAGATGCGGGATCTACTTGGTGTTGCTAAGTCAAGTTTAAGAGGGGATGTTAGAAATTAAACTTGGCTTAGCCCAATCATTGGGTCCATTAGAAGTTAACTTATTGGGCTAGTAGTTGTATGAGAAATAATAAATTAGTTAGCCCATAAGTTAGAGTTAGTAAAGAAAGGTCTAGAGTACTCTTTAGTTAATGTACTTATTAAATAATTCTAGAATATTCCTAAGCTAGAATCCTATGGAATAGTGTAGAATGTTAAAGACATAGGAGTGCCTAGAAGGATCCTAAGAGACCTATAAATAGAGCACTCCTCACTCATTTGTAATACAAGTCAAAAGCTCCAAATCAATAAAAGTTCCAAGTTCTCCCATAATCATCTCTCTCTAAAATCCTCTCTTCCATACACAATCACCTAAATACAATACTCATAAACTCCTTTATTCCAACATTATATTGCACATATAGAGGATGATATCATATTCTTTAGCATCCTTAGCCTTGAGTCCTTCAAGTTTAAGAGGCTGTACACCGCCTACAGGTGTGCTGGAAAGTCATTTGTTATATCTTCGTCTCTAAAACATGGGAGAAAAGAAGAATTCAATGGATACCCATGAAAATGACGATAGTAGTTGGGTTTTAGCCCATGTAAGATATGGTGAAGGAACTGCAAACATGATAAAAATTTATATGTTATTGAATAGCGACTATAAAGTAAAAATATGACCATACTTTTTTAGGACCATCTTCATGCGCAGACCACCTCTTCAGCATTTTCTCCGAAACCTCTTGGGTCAGATCATCAGTTATCCTCCAGCCCTCCAACACTTTTTAAAGCGTTCATACTTTGCGGGTATCACAAGAGTCCTCCAAGTAGACTCACAAAACAAAAATTAAACAATTACAAATTAGTTAACCCTGAAATAAACAATACAGAACTTTGAAATCGAATCCAATTACAATAACATATCTTCGAATGGGAAAGAGAAGATCTGGTAAAAGAATCGTTACGATCATATTGAACACTGGAATCTGCCATGGGGGTGACCTTGAACACGATCATATTCACACGTTTTATCCAATTCTTTTATATATTTGGTTTTGTACTTAATAAACAAATTAGTTTAAAATAATTTATTATTTTGTAATTTCAATCACATCTTTTCGCAATTAGCATTAAAACACACTTGCTTGTAATTATAACTTAACTAAGTTATAAACTTATAATTAAATATTTCATTTGTTTCTTATGAAAATTTATTTTAGTTTTACTAAATTGTGAATTTTTTAATTAATATTTCTTTCCTAAAAACTGTGTGATAATGTTTGTGCAAATTTGTCCCCACTAATCGAATTTTCAGGATACACCCTGGGGTGACCTTGAATACGATATCGGCCATTGAAGACGTCTTTTCCAGTTCGCGTAATTAACTGGTTTGAGCGTGAGAATTAGATTATTTAATTAAAGCTCGTTTCTGCACACCGCCTTTGTTATTGGCCCACCCAATTCCAGGATGGCCCAAAAGTAGACAGACCAATAGATACACATTATATTACGTGTTTCTGCGAAAGAATACAGAATTGCACTCCATAAACGTCCTCGAATAGTAGTTAAATAATGAAGAAGATGCTCAAAAAAATTCATAAAAAAGTTACACCGATAATTGCCCCAAATGGCGACGGCCGTACAGAGCCTTCAATATAAGGGATGATTTGCACTTTTTAAGTTAGTTCGAGGGCCGATTTATCCGGACAGTATTTTGGGAAATACTTTTAAACCAACCCTAATCTGGTAAATATTTATTTATTTGAGATTATTTTAAGAAAAACTCCTTTTGACTAAGATAAATTGACTTTACGACCCATTTTAGGAACCAAAGTATAAAACTCACATTTTTCAATAATCTCTAGTTTCCTTATACTCCGTATATATTTCATTAATTTTAACTTTTTCATTATTATTACTACTCAGTATTTGTGTATTTGTCAGACAACTTTGCCATTATTTTACCACGAATCACGAGTGTACAATCTTTGATTCTTTTCCTCCTAGAGTAACGAGTTAGGTATATTTGGAAGGTTGTCATATTTGGAAGCCTGCCATTATTTATATATACAAGGATCGGACTAACTATTATTATGGTAATAAAGAACATACGGAGTACGTATTTCAATTCCTAAGAATCTAAGATCCCCTGTTTGTTTATTGTGTAAGTCATGAATGATCAAATACTTGCGGAAATCCTTGTCCGTCTACCGCCGAAATCAGTTTACAGATTCCGGGCCGTATCAAAATCATGGAACGAGTTGATTTCGCATCCCTATTTCATCAAGAAATACGACAGCCGGCAACGGCTGCCGGACGGTGTTGGTTTGTTATCCTTATTCGGAGATTCTTACTGCCCCTGCAGTTTCTCCCATTCCAAGAAGCGCAAGAAATCGCTCGAATACCATTCTCTAGATCTTGAAGTCAGCGGCATGTTTCTAGAACCAGTCAAGTTCATAAATAGTTCTAACGGTTTGATTCTCTGCAGCCGAGGTGGTTGGTATGAGCAGGGGTACCTCGTTCTCAACCCTGTTACGAAAAGGTCGGTCTTCGTGCCGCTGGCGCCGCCGTCCTGGTGTACACTAAGATCCATCGGGTTGATGTGTGAAGAGAACAAAACCCAACTGTCAGCCAAGTTCATCGTCGTCCTGAATGATGATCCCGTCCTCAGCGAAAGCGAAGAGGCCACTTTGCCAATCCTGACTTACTCTTCCGAAACAGGGGTCTGGGCCGCAACCAAACTGTCCGTGATCCCCGCCGCTGCCGCAAAAGATGACATATGCTTCCGTAGTGTGTTCCGACATCATCCTTTAGTGATGAACGGTGTTTTCCATTGGTACCATTACTGGAGCGACACGGGCACATTATCGCTAGCACTTTACCGCCCCCACGGTGAAGCCGCGGTCTTAGATTTCCGGAGCTACGATGGATTTGGAAATAATAATCCCCTCTACGGCTCCAGCGCTCTTACGAGATCATCCATTGATAATGGTGACATTTTATGGTTCGCCCTGGTTGACGTTGGTCGCGAAACCATGAGAGTTTTCGTGCTCCCAAAAGGCAGTCAAGGGTGGGTCTCAGTGTACACTATCAGTGTTGAATCGCTCTGGCGGAATGACATGGCCTTGGTGTCTTCAACGAGGATGGGGAGCAGAGGGCAGATATTTTTGAATGGCTTGGTTCCGGTAAATAATAAGAAGACTCCGGTTGCCGTAATCCGGAGGGAAGAATCCGGGAGGGTATTTCTTTTTGACGTGGACACGAAAGCCGTTCAACCCCTGCCGTATCATGGACGTCCGGTTACCACCGAGTGGGCTGCACTCATCCGTGGTCATGATTTTATAGCTCATTATCCTTATTTACCGCCTTCATCTCTTTCTACATTCGCTCTTTAGTTGATGGATCCTCTAATAGATCTATTAGTACGTTTAGCACTTATACAGTTTGTATTTGTAGTTCTTATGTAAGGTTTATTTCTTATGTAATCGTGTGTCTGAAAATAAAAGTTGAATACTAATTGCATCAATAAAAAGCTTCACAAATTGTGAGTAATAGCGTTTTCAAATTCTAAAATAGGAGTATCATGTTTTTATTTCTTGAATAAGAGTAATCTGTCATTTAAGTTTGAGAAAAAATGTCATGTTTAAAGCCTTGTAATATAATGTCAAACTTGGCAGAAATTTACTCATATTTAGGGAATAAAAAACATGATACTCTTGTTTTGGAATTTCAAAACGTTTTTACTTCTATTTAGAAAATTCTCTCATAAAGCTTCAATTTCTTTCTACACACGTATACATAAACCACGCACATAAAGAATGCTTTAAAGAAAAATAGTTTTTGTATTTCAACTAATTAAACACCTCACTAGTCATTACAATATGTAATTGAAAAAATGGACAAAGAATAATTCCAACTATTAGTGATCTTGTCTATTACAATATCACTAATAGTTGGGATTATTCTTGTCTATTATTCCTATCTAATTTGACTTCATTGATCAATTCACAAAGGCTTGAGAAAGTAAATGGAGTTTCAGAAACAGCTATAATTTGAGGAATATATATACCCAGTATCACTTACGGAGTTTCTCATGAAACTAATTGGTAAGTGCATTGTATATCTTGATGTTACAATGATTTAATAGAACACACCTTTTTGTATTTCCCCCTAAAAATGACGAGAAATTTAATAAATTAAGGGGAAATTTCCAGGGTGTGACTAAAACATATTGAGTTCTCTAAATACGATTAGTTATGTTGTTAGAAATTCGTATGACCAAAAAGCAAAAATGAAAAGAAAAATGTGTTCATACTAAATTGTTCAATGACCAAAAAACGGTTATTTAAAAAATTTGCATTTGCACTATTTTCGTCCAATTAAAATGTGATTATTGCACGACATTAGTGCACGACATTTTTGCAAACCGGTATGTATCACTGCACTTCCCGCCAACATCAATCTTCTTTTCATCCACGTTAGGAATTTATTTATACCTCTTTTTTTAGATGTAAAACTTTAAATTAATACTCCATATATTATGTCCAATTAAGTATATTACATCTAGTGTTGTCGTTATTGCTCTATCGTCTTGGACTTACTGCACAAGACACTTTATCGATGCATTCATTCACTGCTCATGTTCAACATTATCTAGTGTCAAGCTTACTGTCTATATTCAACACTATATATTGCCTTCGATTCATCACAACACTCTTAATTATTTAATGCATTCATTCAGTGCCCATGTACAAAATTATCTATTGGCATGTTCATTGACTATGGTTATCATTGTTTGATTATCATGTTCATTGTCCATATTCACCATTTATGTTCACTATCCTTTTCTACAAAGACTAAGAACCTCAGAATCCAAGAATTGAGGAAAGGAAGATTTCGTCAGTTGAGGTTAACCCAATTATCAATGATAGTATTTGAGGAATCAAACAAATAAAATTGAATTTGCGGCATGTAGAAAAAGATACATACTCAAAAAAATTCAATTTGAGGAATCAAACAAATAAAATCGAATTTGAGAAATCAATCATAACATGCCCAGCTTCATCGACTGCATTAAAAGTGGTCAAAAAACATAAATAGCGTCGTGAAAAGTCTTCCACCAAGACTAACGACCACTGGTGGCCGGATCCTCACGTAGCCATCGCTGTCCATCCCTGGGTGAAGTCCTCTGTTGATTGCCGCTGAAGTTCTCGGCACCCCTGCACAGCTGCGAGGTCGTCGGCAACCTCCAGGCCGGCCATCATGCTTGAGATCTGTGATGATTCTTCCTCTGGCCTCCTCCAGGCGACATAGCTCTTGCGATGGAAGGTTGCTTCCAGATCTGCGTAGAATCTCTTGGGGGTCGGCTACAATTAGGTTTTACATGAGTATTAGGAGTATGAACAAGCTTCAGGGCAGGTTATAAACTTTGCAAAATCCATGATTAGTTGCAGCAGAAATGTGGAAGAAAGTTATAGAGACGGCGTGGCAGAGGTTTTTGGGATTGAGCCGTCTATGTTGGGAGCAAAGTATCTCGGGCTGCCATCTCTTATCGGGATAAATAAGAGAGAAATTCTGGGGTTTATTAGAGAAATAGTGGTCACTCGCCTTCGTAGTTGGAACAACAAGTTCCTGTCAAAAGTAGGGCGGGAAGTGCTTCTCAAATAAGTAATACAAGCCATGCCAATGTATGCCATGCAAGTTTTTTTATTGCCTGCTGATTTATGTGCTGAGATTGAGAGAATTATGAACAAATTTTGGTGGACAGGAGGATCAGAGAAGGGAATTCATTGGCGAGGTTGGGGCGATCTATGTAAACCAAAGGCCAAGGGTGGGTTTAGAAGGTTAAGGGAGTTCAATGTGGCTATGCTCGCGAAGCAGGCATGGAGGCTTTTTACGGAACCAAATACGCTAGTGGCGAGGGTGTACCAAGCCAAATATTATCAGAAAAGATCCTTCCTTGAGTCTGGTTTGGGAAGCAACCCCTCGTTCATTTGGAGGAGCATTTGCGAGGCTAAGGGTGTTATTTCAGAAGGCTATCGCTGGAGTGTTGGAAATGGGCAGTCTATTAAGGTCTGGACAGACCCTGGCTCTCTGACGTTGATCCGAGGGTTCATACGCCTATGTGGCAAGGGCTTGAGGAGTTGACTGTGGATGGACTAATGGCCGTGGGGGGGACTCAATGGGACTTAGATGCGGTGTCAGATATTTTACAGAATAGAGATATAGACTTGGTGAAAAATATCCCTTTGAGCAACCACCAAGTTTCCAATAAGATAATTTGGGCCTGGGAGTCTAGGGGCTGTTTTACTGTCAAAAGTTGTTCCCGAGCTCTGGTTGGCGAAATAGCTGCAGAGGGCTGGACAGGTTGGACGAAGATGTGGAGCTTGCACGTACCTCCGAAGATAATTTTTTTTTTGGCAACTATGTGCAGGGCTTTTACCAACGGCTGAAAATCTTCGAAGGAGGAGGGTAGAAGCCCCCCTAGCATGTTGCTGGTGTAATAATGCGCAGGAAACAACAACTCATTTGTTCAGTAGTTGCAAACTAGCTAAAAAAGTGTGGGGAAGATTAGGGTGGGGAGAAAGTTTGAAAGACGGTGACTCATTTTTGGGGTGGGTTGAGCTCAATTTCTCGGCCAAAAATGAGGACATTTGGAGTACGTTGGTGATCAATTGTTGGGCTATTTGGAGAGCTAGAAATCTGAAAGTATGGGAAGGTGTGGAGTCAACAACGGCTGAACAAATTTGTTGGCGGGCAGACTCTTTCCTTGGGAGCTGGAGGTGTGCACAGCAACAAGAAAAGCAGAGAAAGCTTTTGGAGGAGGGCAGCCTACTGCAGTGGACTAAAATTAGCACAGATGCAGCTTGCAGGGCGGGGGGAGGTGGCTGCGGTCTACGGTTGGTGGCACGGGACTGTTTGGGCACCTCTCTGGCAGGAGCGGCAATCCCTTGGCAGGGCAATTGCTTACCAAGGGAAGCGGAGGCTTTAAGTATAAGGGATGCTCTTAGCTGGGTTCTTTCAAAAGGGTGGAACGACGTTGAATTTGAGTCTGATGCTTTGCAAGTCCCCCGTATATCTTTTAGTTATGTTAAGAGGTCTGCGAATCGAGTTGCACACCGGTTAGCCGGGGCAGCCGTTTCTATGTTTGATCGTAGCTTATGAACTAATAATCTGCCTTTATGTATTTTGGATGCTCTCCATCATGATTTAATTAATTGTTAACTGCATTGGCTTAAAAAAAATTAGGATAAAATAAAAAATTTGATAGATTAAATAAGTAAATAAAATGACACTATATATATTATCCAACTTTCTTTAATTCTTGCAACAGTATGATTTTCATGTTTGCCAACGCACAACTTTGACAGTAATTACATTTAAGCCAATATTAATAAACATTATAAGAAGTTGATAATTTGGAAATACAAATCAATAGAAATTTAATAACATTTTATACATAATTATTTGACTATATATATTAGTAGAAAATCATGGTCAAAGTAAGGTGTGCGAATAGTGCAAAAAACTCAATGTTGCAACTATTAAAGAACAGAGGAAATATATATTTTTATCGTAATAAAAAAAAGTTGACTTTACGAACCATTTTAGGAACAAGAAAATATTATATTGACCAAAGTATAATTTTAGGAAAATGATGTTTGTACCCACTTTTATATTCTACTCACCCATGTTTGTAAAGTTATTTTTTTTTTTGTCTGTGAATTCCTTCACAGACATATTTATGTCTGTGAAAGAATTTAAAGACATATTTTGTCTGTGAACCGGCTTCACAGACAAAAAAATAGCTTTCATAGAGATGGGTGTAAGGTGAGTTACAAAGTGATGAGTACAACAAGCGGTTGTTTTAGGAAAATGGTGGTCATTATTACTCCGTATTTGTGTAGATAACTTTTGACGTCGTTAAAAAAAATATTTTGACCGCGGAAGTACAATCTTCTCCCCCTAAAATAAGGATTTCTGTTATTATGTTTGGAAGGTTATCATATTTGGAGAACTTCTAAAACTCTACTTTGCTGCCTTTTATATACACGGACTCCCTCCTAATACACGGACTCCCTCTTATCAATCCCCTGTTTATAGTAAGCCATGAATGATCAAATAATTGCGGAAATTCTTGTCCGTTTGCCGCCGAAATCTGTTTACAGATTCCGGGCCGTATCAAAGTCATGGAACAAGTTGACGTCGCAGCCCTATTTCATCAAGAAATACGACAGCCGGCAACGGCCGCCGGACGGTGTGGGCTTGTTGTCCTTATTCGGAGATTTTTATTGCCCCTGCAATTTCTCCCATTCCAAGAACCGGAAAAAATCGGTTGAATACCATTCTCTAGATCTTGAAGTCAGCGGCATGTTTCTAGAACCAGTCAAGTTCATAAATAGCTCTAACGGTTTGATTCTTTGCAGCCAAGGTGGTTGGTATGAGGAGGGGTACCTCGTTCTCAACCCTGTTACAAAAAGATCGGTCTCGTTGCCCCCGCTGCCGCCGTCGTCCTCGTCTAAACTACATTCATCCATCGGGTTGATGTGCATAGAAAACAAAAGCCAACTGTCAGCCAAGTACATCGTCGTCCAGACTGGTTATCATGTTCTCAGCGGAAGCGAAAAGGGTACTTTGATGACGGTGACTTACTCTTCCGAGACAGGGGTGTGGGTGGAAGCAAAACTGCGTGTGATCACGGACGTTGCCGACGCCGCCGAAGTCGCAAAAGAAGACATCTACCTTTCTATGTTCCGAGTTCCTCCTTTGGTGATGAATGGTGTTTTCCACTGGTACGATTACTGGACCAACATAGGCACATTAACACTAGCACTTTACCGCCCCGACAGTGAAGCCGCGGTCTTAGATTTCCGGAGCTACGATGGATTTGGAAATAATAATCCCCTCTACGGCTCCAGCGCTCTTACGAGATCTTCCATTTATAATGGTGACGTTTTATGGTTTGCCCTCGTTATCTCCGAAACCATGAGAGTTTTCATGCTCCCAAAAGGCAACGAACAGTGGGTGTTAGTGCATACTATCAGTGTTGAATCGCTCTGGCAGAATGACACAGCCTTAGTGACCTCATCGGGGATGAGGAGCGGAGGGAAGATATTTTTGAATGGCTTGGTTCAGGTGAATGATAAGAAGACTCCGGTTGCCCTAATTCGAAGGAAAGAAACCGGGAGAGTCTTTCTTTACGACATGGGCACCAAAGCTGTCCAATCCCTACCATATCAAGGACGGCCGGTTAGGACCGAGTGGGGAGATATCGTCCATGGCCCTGAATTTCTAGCTCATTATCCTTATTTACAGCCTTCATCTCTTTCCACATTTGCTCTTTAGGTCATGGATCTCCTAATTGATAAAATAGATTAGCACTTCATATATTTTTGTATTTGTAGTTCTTATTTAAGGTTTACTTGTCATGTAATTGTGTGTGGAATTCAAAGTTCGTTGAAAACTAATTGCTTCAATAAAGATTTACTTTCATTGTATACACAGTTATACATAAAACACACACATAGAATGTTCTAAAGAAAAACAGTTTTTGTATTCAACTAGTTGAACATCTCATTACAATCTAATTTGACTTCATTGATCAATTCATAAATCATAATTAAGGATTGAGAAAGTAAATGGAGTTAGAGAAACAGCTATAAATTTGAGTTATTTATATACTACGGAGTACATATCACTTATGGAGTATTTTATAGAGAATAGAAAGCTGCTAGGCCGTGAGTTTCTTATGAAACTGATTGGTTAAACGTTGTTCTGTTTTTCTGCATAAATGTTACGTGTACATGCTCAGTTACACGTCGGCCCAACCACGGATCTATTAAAAGTGTTGTCGGGGTAGCTGCTCGCCTGCCCCCAATAAAATCCTACTAATCCATACTCGTATAATTTATTACACAGTACTAAATATTGAAAGTCTCTCAAAGATGCCTAGGTGCAAAGCATCCATCAAAAGGCCTCGCATACCAATAGTTGTGAGAAAAAGGCGTTTGGAACAGTTGAAGCCTCCATTTGTGGTTTCAACTATTGGGAGGCGATTCCTATGCTTGACGAGGGAAGCGAGATGATTTATAGAGTATTGGTGAAGATCATACTCTCCCTCCGGTGTGGGAAATTAAAACTGATGCAAATGAATTATTGGAACACGGAAGCTAATAAATTTCAAAAAATATGTTTGTGCTCACGCTTATACTCACTTTTGTATCCACCATGTTTGTGCAAAGTTTATTTTTGTCTGTGAATCCCGTTCACAGACAAAATATGTTTGTGCAAATTATTTTGTCTGTGAATCGGATTCACAAACAAAAAAATACCCTTCACAGACATGGTAGGTTTAAGGTGGATAAGAGTGTGTACAACAAGAATGATTGAATAATTTTTTTTGTCAAGACTCAAGAGCAAAGCTCCCTCCCACCGGTGTGGGAATTGTGCTCATACGGAGGGTGCTAAACTGCTGATGCGGAGAGTAGCATTCAAATTTTGCTAAACATCTACTCGTACTATTCATATCTTAATATTAATATTAAGTAAATACTTCGTATATCATTGTTGTTATTATTATATTATTACTATTACTGTAGAGTGTAGAGTTAATTAATATATATATATATATATATATATAAGGGAAAGTTCCCGAAATAGGACTAAAAAAGTCTGGAAATTCCAAAATAGGACTCTCATGTTTTTATTCCCAAAATAAGACTATTTACTGCCAAGTTTGAAAAATACTCTCATATTTAAAGTCTGGCACTGCCAAAACATGACCGTAATTAGTCCTATTTTGGAAATAAAAACATGACAGTCATATTTTGGAATTTTCAAACTTTTTTAGTCCTATTTTGGGTAATATCTCTATATATAAAAGAGGAACTTTTTAAGAGCATACAAAGCGCCACATAATCCTGCCATGTCATTATATGTATTAATTATTTAGTTATTTTTAACAAAAACTGTCAAATCAGTCCACCTACTATTTCGAAAAAATTAATTGAGTCCACATACTATTTTTTCAATCAATTAAGTATACAAAGTCTCAAATTTTCATCAATTGGGTCATTTAACCGGTAACTAACCGGTAACCCTTCTAGAGCTGAGGTGGATGCCACTTAAATATTTTGTACTTTTTTTAGTTTTTCCCATTTTGTTTTTCATTTTTATTCTTTTCTTTCTCGTGCTTGTCTCTGCTTGTCTCTGCAACTCAGCCCCCTTCCCCATTTCGTCTCTGCGAACTCCCCCTGCTTTATTCCGTTTTTTTCTTTTTCCCATTTTCTCTCTGCAACTTCTCCCATCTTCTTCTATCTCTTCTTCTTCCCTACTGCTTCTACTCCACGGCTCCACCTGTCCTCCCCCTCCCTTCATCCTTTCCCATCCAGTAGTTCACCCCATCTAGCCTTCTTTCCCTTTTTTCTTTTCTCCTATCTCTTCTTCTCCATTCTACTTCTTCTACCTAAACCGACCTTCTATCCCTCCTCTTTCATGGCTAGAGAAGGAGAATATGGAAACCCGCCGACAACCCTAGCTCTTCTTCAATCGCAAACAGACGGCGGTGGCAGAGCTCGACGGCGTTAGCAGCAGATCTCGACGGCGACAGCAGCAGAGCTCGTCGGCGGCAGCAGCAGTGCTCGACGACGCCAGCAGCAGAGCTCGACGGAGATGGCAATGGAAGAAACAGAGATCGACAGTGGAAGAAAGATGAAAGCTAGAGGGGGAGAAGGAAGAAGAGGAGAAGAGAAATAAGAAAAAAGGGAGGAGTTGCAGAAATGGGAGAAGGGAGATGAAGAAAGAATTAAAAAAGGGAAAAAGATAATCTAATGCCACACAGACTCCAATAAAGCGCTGACAAGGAAAAAAAGCCATGTGGAAGTTCCACATAGGCGGATTAACAGGGAAACCAACCCATTACTGGAGAAAAGGCAAGATTTGGTCATTTTATGTACTTGGTAGACTTAATTGATTGAAAAAAATAGTATGTAGACTCAATTGAGTTTTTCGAAATAGTAGGTGGTCTGATTTGACAGTTATTTCCTTATTTTATACCTTCTATTTTTATTAGCTAGATTCTATTTTTGATTGCATATTGGTATGGAAACAAAAATCCGTAGAAATCCAGCTTAATTAATTTGGTAACTTTTTCAAAATCCATTACATATTTGATAAGTATTAAATTCTGTAATTCGAATTACAACAATTAATAACCAAATTTGAACAGACTCACGGAGTAACAATCATTTAATTATTACATTCTATTAAAGAGATGAAGTATTATTCGTTTTTTGC